TGGATCAGAACCCTACTTCAGAGGATACCAAGTCCGCTTTTTCAGGCTTTTCAAGGTTCAGACCCACCCAGTGGCCTGACCAACTCAGACCAGGAATCAGAAAACCACAACTTGGATTCACCGCTGTATCATTGCCGTCAACAATGTAACAGATCCAATCCCCGGATTGGTATTTATTGGGGATTGGATCGAAAATAGACCCAATACCGGGTATTGGGATTGGATCGATCTCCAATCCAATCCCAATTTATTGGACAACTGGGATTGGTTGGAGCGATCCAATCCCGATACCCAGGTTGGTTCTATTTCCGATCCAATCCCCAATAAATACTGATCTGGGGATCAGATCAAATACACTCTGGATTATACCAAAGCATGAGGCACACAGTCCGCAGCTTTTTGTTGTTGGATTGGGATCCCAATCGGATACCATTTTGATCCGTTACCACAAGATTGGATTTCACTAGCAATCCAATGCCTTATTTTTTGATACCTGGTATTGAAAAAACAATCCAATCCAATAAATCGGCTGATACTGTATTGGATTGTATTGGTTTCATTGTTGTTGCCGTGTTATTGTTAGCAGTCCCTCACCTATTGGAAGCTTCCCACTCATTGTGTCAGGATCAACAATATGTAAGTCAGTCCTTCAAGTTCAGTTTGCATCTTTCTGCCAAGTTTCTTCTTTCAGCGGTGGGCCGCTACGCTTTTGGCCCAAAAAGCGTAGCGTAGCGGCGCTTTTTTTTCACCCAAAAACCGTAGTGTTAGCGGTTTTTCGCTACGCTAAGCTGCGCTACAGTGCTTTTAGCGGAGAAAGCGGCCAAAAACCGCTTTAGCGCAGCGTAGTGGGCCCTTTTTTGCGGCCCACACGCTTAGCGTTAGCGGTGTTGTGGCGGAATTCCGCTACGCTACGCTAATTGCTAACAGCGATTCCGCTGCGTTACGCTACACTAACCGCTACGGTTAGTGTAGCGGCCCACCGTTGCTTCTTTGTCTCATTGAATGATCAAATCATTCTGTTTCTACTAAATCTCTTCCTTAACTAAACATATCAAATCAAGTCATCATTATCTTCTATGTTTGGTGGTAAAACTGAAAACCACATAGGTTTCCCTTTAAAGAGCCTTGATCTTAGATCTAAAAATTTGAGGTTGGTTTGATTTATCAATACCAATTACCCTTCTCAGTTTCATTTGAGTTAGGAGGCGTAGATCCTTTATCCGCTGTGGTAAGCCAATCCAGAACCTCAAGGCACAGCACGATTACATATCAAACAAGAATCACAGACCCAAGACCCCTCAGGAATTCCCCAGGCCCTCAAACAAATCCAACACACCAGTCATCTACACAAGTACCCCCCTCATAGGTAAAGACATCTTCCACACCTCTGAAACTCCTCAAATGAAACCCTTGGCCAAATTCCTAGTTCACTCTTGATAAGAGTAGCTCACACACCAATTACACACTAGTACCCCTTCCCAATATAGCTCAAACCCCTCTAAAATATATTCCTTATCTCTTATCTCCTTCCACCTTATGCCAAGAATTACCACTCAACAGCCATGTTTCATACCAGCCCTCTTTTGGCCCTTTCTTCCCATTGCCTGTTCAATCCCCATCTGGGTGAAATAATTTCCCCCACCTCTTCCCCTTGATAAGATTATCCAATCCTCTCTCTGTTTCAGAATGAATTTATTACCTTATCTTAGCTTGACTCTTTCTTTGGTTTCAGCCTAGTCTTATCTTATCTTAGTGCCACACTAAATTAGGCCACATTGTTCATAGTTACAATTTTCTTCCTTGTTCATTCTTTGTTCCATTTTGTTCCATCCATCTTCCAACCACAAATTGGCCACTCCCCAGATTTTGTATATAAGGAGCCTTGTTTTCCCTTCTTGATTTGTTCCATGATCAGAGCCTGCCCCAGAAATTCAGATAACTGATCACCCACTATTAGCCAGGTATTTGCCCATCAACATTTGGGATACCTTGATTTGTGACAAGTTTATTTAGACTAGTAAACATAAGAAATATTAGACATACCATCCTCAAGAAATCTCCACAGCCACACCTTTTTCCTTAAGAGTCCATACTCTTATATTTTCTTGTTATCAGAGAGGCAGCCCAATAAATCACTCATCCCTCTCAAGCTCTATTCATCCCAAGAGTAGTTCCACAAGTGGTGTCCCAACAGTGGCTCAACAGATCTTTTGGTTTCAGTCACTACCACTTACAGTTTCTATGCTAAATATACAGTCACAGATTAGCTAGTTACTACCAACCCTATTAGAATTCATAATTTACATACCTTATCATTCCCTGCAGAAATCTTCATTGGTAAATCTGCATCAACAAAATGTCATTGGATTATCAGCAAGAATATTATAACAGTAGAAAACTTAACAACCCAAATTAAAATATGACCATCCAACCAACCAGAAATTCCATGTCTGGACCTACCCATAAAATCAACATGTCCAATTTGGTTATCCCAGCTTGGAGAGGACAAGTCTTACCCCCTCAACTACCCCCTCACCAGTACTATAACCCTGGAACCACATTCTCCCAACCTCCTCCTGCCCATACTCCAGCCTTTAACCCTGGACCAATGAGACATCCCCAACCCTCAGAAAGTGACACCCTGGAACATTTGGAAATTCAAGAACCCCTTTACCACTACAGGAAAGAAATTCAGGAGACAGGACCACCAGGACCAGTCAAGGATACTTCAACTCAGCCAACTCACCCTCTGGAACCCAAGAAACCTACCCCCATCCACTTTCTGGAAAGAACAGAAAAATTGAGCATTATCTACAGACCCAAAGATGGAATGCCTTTCACAAAGGAGGAAATGTTTGGTCAGCTCCACTATAGGCATGGGAGGAATAAAAAATCTAGAACACCTCCAACTATTCAGAATCCAATTTGAAGCAATCACTCACTACCTCATCAGAAATGGTCACAATTTCCACATGGATGAATTTTCAAACTACCTTTGGAGATCCCTCAGCCTAAAGTTGGAAAGGTTAATATCTGATCCACTTATCGGGGATGGTCACTTGATTTTGGGAGCAAATTTCCATATTGCAGAGGTACCATCCTATGGTGTTATTTTGGAGTATATTGACAGGGAGCTCAATAAACTGGATACTCTTCAAGAAGCACCTCATCAACCTGAAGAACAAATTCACCAATTCAATCAGAATCATCATAATGTCACCAACATGGAAGAATTTGAACCAGAAATCCATTCACCACTTACAGAGAATTCCTCTCCAGTACCTTCTTCAACCTTGGATGCCTTCCCCCTGACCTTAGAAAATGGCCAATCCCTGGAAACCTTGGAACCCTTGGACAACACAGAGACAAAACAATTTGGATCAGAAACAGAAGTCATTTCAGCAAAAATTCCCTCAGAAATATCCTTACCATGTGCCATGCTTGAACAAAATTGCTCCCCAGTAGCACCTGTAACCCTGGAATTTCCCCCCCAGATCCTGGAAATTTGCAAGAAGTTGGACCCCTTGGATAGAAACCAATCAGTATATCTTGGATCAGAGAGTGAAACATGTGCAGAAAATATAGATAACTTACCAGTAGGACCAGTCAAATTGGAATCTTCCCCTCAGCTCATTGCTAATGACCAACCACTGGAAACTCTGGAACCCTGGAGCAATACTGAAACAGAATACCTTGGCTTAGAAAGTGAAATTTTTGCAGAACCCATTTTCCTAGAAGAGAATTTACTAGTGTTCCAAGTTGAAGAGACCCCAGTTAATCCTATTCCTGAATTGCAAAACTCTCTGATAATCCTGGTGGAAGATAAAAATGAGGAAAAATTTAGTCAGAATATAAAAACAGAGGATGTGGCAGCCTTGGATACAGTACAGTCAATTCAGTCCCCCACAATAAACTCAAGAAGGTTTGCACCTGAAGGAATTGGAACCCCAGAAGAACCTATTTCAAACATTGCACCCAACTTATTTCTAGAAGTTGATTATATTCCCAATTCACAATTGAATTCCATGGAGACCCATGTTGCAGAAACTCTCTACAAAGATTCCAAAGGTGGATTTTTCTACCAGGAACCAGTTTTTATTCCTTCAAGGCAAGTTTTTGATCCTCAGATAAACTTCAACAAAACATTAGGACCCTACAACAAAGAAACAACCCCTGGAAAAACAACAGACATAATGTTGCAATCAGCTTCCATCACAAACATTCTCACAGAAACTTTTTCTCCTACAACTCACCAAGTACCTCCCCACCAACATAAGCCCCCTGATAACACCAAAATATTTATTCCACCCCCACAAATTAAATCTGAAAAACTAGGAATAGGGGACTCTGTACATCTCATCAAGAAAAGGATCAAACCCCATAGGATGAAGCTGCTGGTTTATATGAAGCTCTGTGTAACTCCAGTCAGAAAGTGATCTAAAAATAAACAAAACAGGAAGAAGAACAGTGGAATTACTTTTAGATCATCAGATATGAATAGACTCACTCTACTGGCTTTAGATCTCTCGGTGTCAGACATTCATGGGCCAGAATGGACTGAAGATGTTAAAGCAATCAGTTCTGCTTCGCTGGTGTTCAATTATTTGGTCTGGAGCTACGAAAAGAGATGGAAGATACAGCTGACCAGTCACTTGCCGAGAATGAGTCCAACAGTTAAAAAAGGGGATTGATCATCTTTGTTGATGTACAGGTTGGAAAGTGTTGATTGCAGTCAGATGGACACATCCAATTCAAGAGCTGAAGTAGCTCTAGATCAGTTCAAGAAGCAGGAGACCCAAATGACACACAAGCAATCGATTCCATCAGTACACAATCTGGAGGAGATTGAGGATACATTTCAGTCAAGCGGGAGCAAGGGAAGAACCAGGCAAAGCTTAACTTTTTCAGTACGCAAGGCAGAAATAATTCATCGAGCTGCAAGTGACAGCATCAGATCAAGAGCTGCAGTAGTTTCAGATTGCTTGGAGCATCAAGAGAGGATGACGATAATCCAGAAATCAACTCGGTTAGTGTATAGTTCAGGGAAGCTTGGGATTAGGTATCATTCAACCAGAGGGCTGGGACAAACAAGGGAGAGCTTACCGTTATCAACGACCAGAGTACATGTGTTCCATCGAGCTCGAAGAGACAGGAAAAGATTAATTAGCTACAGGATTATTCTTCCTGTCAGGATAACAGGATACACACCATTGATTCACCCTGATTTGACTAAACTATATACTATAGGCACTGAAGTGACCAGTTATGCTTCGCTGAGCCTTGCTCGTTTGGTTTGGAACGCTAGCAGAAAGCGGAATAAGATGATCAACAATCGTTTTCGCTGGATGTGTCAGAGGAGCAACAAAAGCAAGCAGTTGATTTTCCGAAAGTACAGGTTGGAGCTGTTGCATCACAGTCGGAGAGGCACAAGGAGGTCAAATTATATCTTACCTTTGGTTCGCTTCCAGAAGCAGTATGATAAAGTATCAAGCAAGCAACCAATCCTGAAGAAGATCAGTCCAAAGGAAGAACAAGTTAGAGTTCAGTCCATGAGCAAGAGAAGCAATTTCTTATCTCTTTCAATAAGCAATGCAAAAGTGCCTTGTCAATCTCGGATTGATAAAAGAAAACCAGAAGCTACAGCACCTTTGGCTCGCTTGAAGGATAAAGCAAGAAGGATGGTGAATAAACATTGGGAATTTCCGATAGATCACTGCAAAAGGAGACCGAGTGCTGCGGTTAGTAGCTGTCAATTGTTCAACAGGGAATGTCAGAGCGGTGAAGCACAGGAAGAACACATCAAAAGAGGTACAAAACAGCTCGGTAAATTGTTTGACCCAGGTATCGAGCAAAACTTTGCATTTACCAAGGAAAGAAAGCCATGCCATTTGATTGCTGATGAGGAAATATCAGATTCTTGCGAGTTCAGGGAGTGGAAGATCAAAACCAAAAGCTGGTTAAGATTATCAGCAAATGTCAGCAACAAGTTTTTGCAAGCTTTTAGCAGCAGGATAGGTCCAAAATCAATAAGAGGGATCACAAGTTTCCTTCAACCAGAAAAAGTAGACAGATTGGTCAAGGATAATCGATCAGCCTCCCCGCTTAAAACCACTAGGTGGGTTAATGATATCCAAGGCCATTGGAAACCAACAAGAGGAAGGTCAAACTCGGCTTTCGACTTGTATCATCACCTACCAATATCTTGTTAGACCGACCCCAAGAATTTCTAGGAGATGAATAACCAAGTTCTTGCATGTCATGTATCAAGCTGTCTAGAAAATCTGCTAGATCAATGGCTTGTTTCACTTCACCACCTGACTGAATACCAACTTGATCCAATTGTGTGGTGTGACCCCTTGTCCAAAAATCTTTAGCCATGTCTGATAAGGCAAGATCTAGGCTTGGTCATACGTTTCAACTAAAACACAACTCTTCTCTTGCAGGTACTAGCACCTGGTAGCACTAGTATAGTACACACATCCCCTGGATCTCAAAGCAAAACACAAGGAAAATGAATGAAAGATTCTAGCATGAAACAAGAAACAAGGGTAATGAAGCATGCTATATGAGTCCCCCCCCCCCCCCAAAAAAAAAAAAAAAAGAAAAGAAAAGAAAAGAAAAAAAAGGAAAAAGAAAAGGTAAAAAAAAAGAAGAGAAGAGAAGATATTTTTAATTATCTTCTGAAACACAAGGCTAATCTGACTCAATACTGTTAAATCCTGAATCACCCCTCAAAATTTCAAAATTTGGGGGTGGTTGAAGCCCAGTTTTCTTCATTCCTTTCCCAGTTTCATATTCTTTACTTCCAACATCAGTCAGCTACTTTTCTCCCTGGACTACATGAATACAGATATCAGAACCTCTCATGAGTAATTTATGAAGCAAAATAAACTAAATTAGAAAAAAATTATTACATAAGATTAAAGTACAAAAATAATTCCTCTACATATTTAAACATAGATTTCTATTTTTATGACACTATTCCTACTCACAGTTTCCCCAGTTATGACCAGTTTTTCTGCATAGGATATATATCAAGTTTTTTTTATCAGGATTGCCTTTGTTTTTCTTTTTCTTTTTTTTGGATGATGGGGACATCATCTAATTTGGGGGTGGATGTGGTAAGCCAATCCTGAACCTCAAGGCACAGCACGATTACATATCACACAAGAATCACAGAACCAAGACCCCTCAGGAATTCCCCAGGCCCTCAAACAAATCCAACACACCAGTCATCTACACAAGTACCCCCCTCATAGGTAAAGACATCTTCCACACCTCTGAAACTCCTCAAATGAAACCCATGGCCAAATTCCTAGTTCACTCTTGATAAGAGTTAGCTCACACACCAATTACACACTAGTACCCCTTCCCAATATAACCTCAAACACCTCTAAAATATATTCCTTATCTCTTATCTCCTTCCACCTTACGCCAAGAATTCCCACACAACAGCTATGTTTCATACTAGTCCTCTTTTGGTACTTTCTTCCCATTGCCTGTTCAATCCTTATCTGGGTGAAATAATTTCCCCCACCTCTTCCCCTTGATAAGATTATCCAATCCTCTCTCTGCTTCAGAATGAATTTATTACCTTATCTTAGCTTGACTCTTTCTTTGGTTTCAGCCTAGTCTTATCTTATCTTAGTGCCACACTAAATTAGGCCACATTGTTCATAGTTACAATTTTCTTCCTTGTTCATTCTTTGTTCCATTTTGTTCCATCCATCTTCCAACCACAAATTGGCCACTCCCCAGATTTTGTATATAAGGAGCCTTGTTTTCCCTTCTTGATTTGTTCCATGATCAGAGCCTGCCCCAGAAATTCAGATAACTGATCACCCACTATTAGCCAGGTATTTGCCCATCAACATTTGGGATACCTTGATTTGTGACAAGTTTATTTAGACTAGTAAACATAAGAAATATTAGACATACCATCCTCAAGAAATCTCCACAGCCACACCTTTTTCCTTAAGAGTCCATACTCTTATATTTTCTTGTTATCAGAGAGGCAGCCCAATAAAGCACTCATCCCTCTCAAGCTCTATTCATCCCAAGAGTAGTTCCACACCGCTAGACAAATAGCAATCCCTTGAAGGAAAGTAAGACTGTCAAAAACCTTGATTATAAGATAAATAAACTATAAGAAAAATACTATCCATTTCTTTTATCTCTTTCTCTCTCCCTTTCTCTTATTCTAGTTGTATTTATTTATCCTCTTGAAATAAATCTAGAATACCCCCAACCCTTGTGTCCTGCTGTTTTTGAGACCCAGGATCACACTTGTTTTTTTCACTGATTCTTCTGAATCATTGTCACCACCATCACAAAACAAACAGCCCACCAAAAATAGAAACTTTTTCCCTCTTCCTTTCCAAATACCTCCTTTCTTCCTTCTACTCTTATTTTTTGTTTGTAAATTCATTTTTTTCATTAAATTCCCTTCATGCATGACCAATCTCTTCCTCCTTTTTTTATATGTTCAAATCCCACATATTAAATGATGAACTGTATCATCCAGGTATTTTTGTCTGCAAAAGCTGTATGAATATTGGAGGACTTCCTGTTGCCATTTAGAGTGCTTTTTAAGCCCTCCCCAGTCCTGAATTAACACCTCAATCATAATTCTAACCAGATCACATGAGAGCCATGTTCACAAGATTTGTGAAAAAACGATTTTTTGTACCAAAAATTAAGACCTAGGGGGTGTAAATTAAATTCTGGGAGGGTTGTAAACCACGATGGGAATTCATCCAGTGGGATTCAGGGTTGAGTGCAAATGCCTTTCAAAAGGGTTTGCAAGTCAATCTGCACAACAAAGCATGCATTTTCAGCTCCCATTACTCATTATAAGGTTAGATGTGGCTAGTAGACAACCTTTTTTGAAAAGCTCCATGCATGAGAGTGACTTGCAAAATGGTTTGCAAGTCACTTTTACTCATCTGTGAAACCCCCTAATAGGACGGTTCACATTTGACACTTTTTTCTGCTAACTTGTAATTGAATATTTGCTTGCTGAAATTAAACATATGCGTAAATTTTTATGCTTTTCAACACATACCCGTTGCTGAAATCACAAAATTTGGATTAAAATTCAGAAGAAACCTTTGTCCCCTACAACTCCCACCAATCCCCGATCAGGTTACTCCACAACTGCTGCTGATCTGGTACTCCACAACCTCAGATTGGCACCCATCCTTCCTCGACTCTTCTTTTCTTTGGGTTTAAT